AGTTTACAGCAATTCACTCGTCTCATAATCGGCGTTATCTTTCACTCAATCCAGCAGGAAGATATATATACACACGCATTTTAAAGGTGAACACAATGTGCGTTTACATCTTCCGTAACCCCGTTTCTTCTCCCATGTGCTCGTTACTTAGGAATACACTAAGTGAAAATTCAAATTAAGTTGCTGGCTTCCCTCTTATAAGTAGAATTACCACCAGTGTCTTTTAACGTTCCTAGATATACATATCATAACGGAGTGTACCTTCTTTTAATCCATACCCTCTCATGGAAAATATTACCACTTTTTTCTATAGCATTCTTGATATTTCAAATCTCCTTAAAACTATTACCAGAACAGTGAAGTAGATGGAAACCCCACATGCACATGCATTACTATGACAGTCTACATAAAATGATAATGGCAGAAAGCAAGGACCTTTATTGCAAAATACAATGCTTGGTACACAAAACCTACAGACCTGGGTTGGAGTCATAGTTCTGTGTATTATTTAGCATCCCTGAGACTTATTTTCTTTACCTGAAAATGAGCATATTTTTGCCTACTTCACAGCATTGCTATTATCGAGAAATATTATCGGTTGTGCTTTTTTTTAAAGCCTATTTTTAAAAAGCCATAAAGAGACTAAGAGTGAAAGACAATCACAGTGATTGTGAAAGGAGCTTATTCTGGTAATTCCACATCCCCTTAAACTTTCGAGACACATATTTGCTAGATTGATGTTCATATCTAATTCTAAATTGTTAAAGTAACCTAGATATTAAATACCGTGTTGGTTAATGTTGGTGAAGTAGGTAAGAAAATATATTTATAACTACTAGCACTGAATTATTCTAAGGTCAAATGCTTATTCAGACTTGTAAATTACTCATAGACAGGCAACAGTAAATTTATATCTTGTAGAACACAGGATTATTGCTGAGTTTTTCCATGATTTGGAAGGAACACACTTCTGCTGCTTTAGCTTTAACTCGCTCTCAAACCTGGTATGCTGCAGAGTAATGCAGTGTCTTCCATAGCTTTGCTGCTAGCGCATCTGTTCAAATCTGTTATTCCTCCAGGAACACGTCTCCTAACGGACTCGCTCGTTGACATGGATTTAGCCCTCAGCATTCTGTTAACTGCCATCTCCTCTCTGTCTTCTTTTCCCTCTGTCTTCAGCTGGCACTTTCGAGAGCTTTGATTTGTGCCTGTAGAGGGCACTTACATTCTAAATGGCATATGGCTACCTCTCCTTCTAGACAGATCACAGCTCTTACAAGACAGGAACTGCATTTTGTTAACGCTTTAATGACATACAGTTCCTGGTAGAGTCCTTCGCTCCTAGTTGGTGCTAAATAAAAATATGGTGAAGAGAACTGAACAATGATGAAGAAATATATTAATCACCCTTCATCGGTAGCCCCAGAGAACTTCTATATTTCCTAATTATACCAAATTACCAAGTCCTAAAACTCCGGAAGATTTTACAGGTGAAGAATCTGAGGACCAGAGAGTTCAAGTGATTTGTCCATCTTCATGTAATTTATTAATTGTCTGGAACAAAGGTTTACACAGTTCTAGTCTGCTCTTTTTGCTTATAAGTGATATCAAATAAAAATCAACAGGATGTAGGCAAGTGATTAGACACAGAGAGAGAAATGAGTAAAAATGCTCATTCGTGTTTGGTGTTCTCTATTCGTGTGTTTTGCTGTGGTCTCATTTTGCCTTATTGAATTTGAAATGCATGTGCAAAACCGAAGGAAGAGAAATCTGAAAAATACAAAGATCAGATAGGTTGCAACCAGGATAGTGAGGTGTCATGGACGCTAAGAAAGAAACAGCTGTTGTTTTGTTTTGTTTTGTTTTGTTTTGCTTTGTTTTATCAGCACCGATGCGCCATGTGCCAAACATTGTGTTAGACTCTTTAGATACATAATCCAAATAAATTCTCATAGCTACCTTGAGAACTAAGCATATTTATCACAATTTATAGTTGAAGAACTGAGTACAGAGCAATTGGATACAGCACAGCAAGCAAATGGAAAGTCTAGTTTCAAGTACAGATGAGTCTGACTCGTGTAATAATAAGCTTGCTCTAGAACTTGCTGAGTGTGCTAGGAGAGAGTTTCAAGGAGAAAGCAGCTGGCTGGGTCATGCACTGTAGAGAGCTCACACGAGGTGGACACTCACGAGAACCTTCCACATCAAGCTGTTACTTAATGTTAATACGGATCATTGTGGTGATCGGTAAGAAAGTAAACTCCATAAAACATACGATATAAAAGACAAGGAAAATGTAAAAATTCTAAAGGTTTGTTCAAAGAAATTGAAAATTAAAATAGCCAAACCCTTCCGAGAAGTTTAATGAAGAAATTAGTCACTGCGAAGGTGAATGAAGGTTGGAGAAAGGATATTTGTTCGAATTGTTCATTTATTCTTTTTTAGTAAAAGAAGACTTGAATGTGCTTTTAAACTTAAGGGGGAAATCCAGAGGAGAAAGAGGACTCATTTATTAGGGAAAAAAAATGGATGGACCAAGGTCTTGTAGTGGGTGACAGGATTCAATAGCATGCCTCGAAAAAAAAAAGAGGCTAGTTTATCCAGAAAAGAAAGAATAGTGATTCACAGACAAATGTGTTGGAGAGAGAAAGAACTTTAAGAAAACTCACAGCAGATGTCTTATATCTCCTCAGAAAAGGAAGATGCAAAGTCATCTCTTAAGGCTGGTAGTGTCTGGTTCTGGGGCCGGAAAGGGTTTGGATCCCTCCCACAGAGAAAAGCACAAGGAAGAGTCAGCTGGAGGTGAACAAAAGAATTTCCCAATGACGTGGAGTGTATACTAATAATAGTGTCAACACTTTCCAGTTGAGCCAATTGGCACAATTTTGTGGCTTTTTCTGGTAACACTCGGTCACCCAGTAATGAGATCAGAGAAAGTACGCCACGGTTTCTTCCCAGGTGAGGCTTAAGAAGGTCGAGGTGACGGGAGATCACAGAGACTTCTTAATTTTAATTAGAAGCTACATGAAATAGTGGGCAATCGATCCAGACCAGAACCAGAGAACACGAAAATGAAAAAGGTTAAGAGAATTAAAGATAGGACCAGTATGAAGAACAGACCCATTCAGAGTAGGAGGAAAGGAAGAAGAATAGGTGGTTATGGCCATAGAAAGGAATTTCCAAGTTCAAGATTTTAGAAATGAGGTAGTTTTGAATGACTGTCGTTTCTACACCTTCATGTGACGCGCCCATGTCATCTAGCTGTCCCACTTTACTACCAGAAAACAGGAGACCGGGAGGTCAGTATTTTCCGAAAGACAATCCGTGGCAGATGCAGTGGCAGAGCCAGGACTAAACCCAGCATCTTTCGAGGAGCACTTTGAAATTTTAAATAAAATGATAATGACCATTCAATCCTATTCCCGTAAAAAGGAATGATAGACCCAGTCGAGTGAATGGAAACCAGCGTCATCCACGATATGGCCACAAGAAAGCATGCAGCATATCTACGCTTCCTACTTCAAAACTTGTATTATGCCTTTTCCTCCCTCTTCCCTGTTTCGGCTTCCTCTTAAAGAAGAGAGGACATGAAAAGTTTCTCCATATTGCATGAACAGCTCCCTGGCCAAGAGGCACTGGGAGAAGAATTAAGCCTAAAGGAACGGGCTACTGGCTGCCATGCTAAATTACACTGTAAATGGCATCACGTTATTTCAGAGTGTCCATGATGATGTATGGATTCCACCAGTTTACCTCCCTCTCTAGTTCTTATATTTGGCAACGGTCCTTTTGTTTTGATAATTGGTATGAGTTTTTAATCTTAAACCATAGCAAAATGTAATTGGAATGTTTAGGAATAGGAGGGGAATTATGTTATTTTAAAGTTCTGTTTAAACAAATTAATGCAACAGAAATTCATCGTTTCATACCTTAGTGTTCATCTCTCTTTTGACCTTTGGGGAAGGATATAAATTTAAACATAGAAAAAGAAATTAAAGATTT